CCAAAAGAATGACCTGGAAAATGTTTTCTTATTGGATCTACAAAAGAGGCTTCTTAAAGTCTTGAAGAAATCTGTGCGATGGGATAAAGAAGAATTAAGAGAAATCAAATCCTATGACAATATCTAATTGAATTAAAGATTAAGATGGTTAGAAGTAAAAGGAAAGAATATAAAGTTGGTTTATTTGATCAAGGTTAAAATAAGACTTTTTTCCCCCAATGTTCTGGTAACCCTTTATGGACTTTTGGCTGACACCAAGATTGAAAAGTTGATGTTGTATGGATAAGGGATGGGATATGGGATGAAAAGATATCTGTTTAACCTTATAAGGGGTGAAGAGTTATTAAATGTATTTATACTTGTTGTGATGATGGTTGGAAATTACTTCTTTATATATTTCTTTTTTTTTCTTTATTCTGTCTTTTTCTTCTTTCTTTTTCTTTTTCTTCTGCACTTTTTCTTCTTCCTTTCCATTCTCTTCTCTTTCTCTAAGTTTAGTTTGTATTCATTTTTATTATTATAATTAAATTCTTAATAAAAATTATATATTTTTTAAAAAAGTAAAATGTTGACCACCTGGCAACCATGAGAAGACCCAGATCTTTATATGTTTCCCTAAACCATTTTCTACACACAGAATATCTTGGTCACAGAGAAGGATGAACTAAGAGCCTGATCTATCTATATGCACACACTCATATATAACCAGTCATTTTTACATGGAGGAACATTCAGTTCTATTACATCTTCTCTGACTTTCAGTGTGCAACAATATGCAAAAAGAACCCAGGTATAGGTTTCTCATTTTGGTGAGAAATTAATAAGGCCAGTAGCACAAAAGGAAGATAGTAGACAAGCATGTCAAAACTAAGGGTGAATTAAAAAGATGACTATTGTTATGCTTCATATAAATATCAATTCCTTTCTGAATAAAATCCAGAAAGTCCATGCCAGTTCAGTGACCTTTCATTGATCTAAAAAAGTAAATTCCTTATACTGAGCTCAACTGCTCATAACTACATGGACATATCCAAAATGAGAGTGGAATTAGTATTTTCAGACCTGAAAATGAGGCCATATGATAGCTGAGAAATGCTTTTGGGCATTTGCTATGCAGGGATGAAGAATCTGAGGCTTGAGAGCTGAATTTAGCCAGTAGACTTTCATATCTAGCCTGACAGAAAGCTCAACTGAGTACCCATCAGAGCTGTCCAATCCAAGAATTGAGAAGGAGCTGGCCCAAAGAGGGCTGAGTAAAGGTGGCTCCCAAATCACCCACAACTTTAAGGCATTCCTGGTACCTTGAGGCAGCTCATTTGGAAAATTATTCATTTAAGACTGCCTTGATGTAGTTAATTTGGCAGTACTTGATGTGCCCCTCACATTTGCCATTAGAAAAGGAAGGGATGAGTGCGGCCAATTTATTGGGGTGAGGGAAACGTTTTAGGCACAGGAAGAATCTACAATATTGCATAGAATTCTACAGTGTGTTTACTTAAGACACTCACACAGTGTCTTTGCAGCACTCCAGGGTCATCTATGTTGGTATACCTTTGTGTTTGACAGGTATAAGCTGAGCTGATACCATTTCAGCTTAGTCACAGGATATCTAAAATGGCAACATAACCGCATAACAAAGTGGCATTTCTGTCTGCACATTTTATCTTACCTTATCCCATTTCCTGGTTCTTGGGATTAAGCTGATATAGCATTCCCTTCATAGGTCCCTAAAGGGAAAAATAACTTGAAGGCTTTACAGGTTTCACAACAATTGATGCCTGGTCTGCATACAACCAGACTTAAAGACATCATCTTGTTGATTCCCAATTAAGTTGCAGTCAGGATTATGAAGTGGTTCCACTGTTTAGAGAGTCTTGCAGCTGTTCCTAGCAAGGAAGCAGGGGTGAAATTGACAAGAGTGTTACTGTTTCCTGCTTCTCTATGTCAGGGGATTAGTTTGTGTGCAAAGTATCAGGCTGCTTGGGTTCTTTGATTTTTAGTGACTGCTTCACACTTGGAGGATTTCTAGAAGGTTCTTTTTCTTTTTGTATGGAGTATAGGGATAAAGTCAAGGATTATCTCTTCCTCTTCCTTACCTAGGCAACCTTCAGCATTTTGTTGTCCATCTATGAAAGTTATTTAAAATGTATTCCCCACTCCCCTTTTCTACTTACTGTAGCAGTGTACAACCTTCAGCATCTTGTTGCCAGCCTACTATCCTTTTACTTTCATAGCTAAGATGCAGAGAAAAGGTGGCAGGGCAGCTTGGCAGCTTCTGCTTAAGAATAAGTATCCAGATCTCTGTTTTGCAAATGACCAGACAAACAGATACTTAGATTTGGGGGCATTAACAATTCTTAAATTTCTTTCTTTCATGAAGTGGGAAAGGATGTGGGAATCTTGCTTGCTCCAGGACTGGTAGTGTCATGAGGCAGACCACTAATTGAATATCATTTTTGCATTCAGCTGCTGGAACAGTACTAATTCGCTCATCGTGGTCCCTGCCTGCTTGTTTTTTGCAACTCGCTTTTGGCCAAAGTAAAGAATCACAGGCCACCTTAAAATGATTACTGAGAAATTAGGGAATGGAAACACACTAGGGTGGAAGTACCATTAGACCATGCTGTCTAATTGCTTATAATAATCCAATAGGTTGGGCTAGCTCTATATTGGATCTTTGGATGTTTGTTTTACACAATTGATCTGAAGAATTCCATCAGCACAAATGCAAATAATCAGGTACAACACTTATCATTTCTATGCTGACAGCAAGAAAGATTAAGGTATATTCGTAATCTGGAATTTGAATACAATAACATACAATCATATACAGCCTTCTCTTGCTTTATGTTAGAATTATGTTCCCCAAAAACCTTGCATAAAGTGAATTTGCATAAAGCAAGATAGTGAACCAGTGGAAAAAAAGGGGGTTGTGGAGTATGGTATCACATTTTGTAACCCAAATGCATTGACAAATGTGCTTATAAATTTTTAGAGCCTTGTTTTTAAGCACTACATTACTTAAACATGTTTTCTTCCTTGTCTTGTGTTTTATATATAGCAAAAGCATTTTTTTCCATGCTTTCTACAGCTGGATTTTAAATGCACAAAGTTATTATAGCAAACAAAGAGGCATTATGGCACTATGGATTTTATTAGCATTCTTTGTGGTGTTGTACATGTAGGTTGGCCCAAGTTAAAAGCTTTTCCTAGGCTGTGAATCATTCAGCTTTGGCACAACACAGTATATCAAACTTGTTTCCAACACTTTTCATTTTAGGTAAGAGACTTGGACAAGAGGTTGATGGCCATTTTGACCCCATAGCAACAGTAGTAGCTATTGCAGGCATGGAACTAGAGCAACTTCATAACACAATGGTAAATGCATGAATAAGAACAGAAAGGGGTTTGGTGGGGCAAATGTCTTGGCGTGTTGCTAGACCTTTGGCGCAAATTGACTATGATGGAACAAATCACATATTAACCTTTTCTTTTCTTTTCTTTTCTTTTCTTTTCTTTTCTTTTCTTTTCTTTTCTTTTCTTCTTTTGCATAAAGCAAATTAGCATAAAGCAAGGGAAACCTGTATACA